TTGGGAAATAGGTAATTGCCCCGAAGATTGGGGAGATGGTCTTCATTTTGCATGAAGAGTAATTATGCTGTTTGCATCATAAGTCCTAATAGAACATGTGTAACTGCATATTATTTTTAGATTTGATTCAACATCTTGATGGTGTATGCTTGTCTTCTTGGAAAAGGTTTATGCATTGCCTTGAGTGGTTAAATAATTTAGAAATTACTAGAAGAATGAAAGAAGAGATGCAGTGGGAGGGCTTATTAGGAGTAGGGGTGGGATATTTAACAGTTAAAAATGTATATATCTGCCTTTTTAGTATTTGCTCTAATTCGTTATTATATTTGCCATTTTCCACTTATTGAGAAGGCACCCTACCTAGAGAAGCAAATCAATATTTACAGTGCACTAGTGCCACAGAGAGTTTGAAATCTTGTGATGAGGGTTTATTGCTGTTTTATCTGCTCTTCAAAGGAATGCACACATCAAACAGTCTCCACCATCGTCCTAGTCCCAGTGACATCGCACCAGTGCCTGTGTGGCTCAGCCAGCAGCTTAATTATTGAAGCTCGCCATCTTTGAATTTTGTTTTTAATATTTCAGAGGAGATGCTTTGAAAATCTGTGTATTAAATAAATCAGAAGATGACGGGGCGAGAAAGTTTTACCATCATGTTTTTAAATGCATCAATTTTCTTAAAATTGAGGATGAGGAATTGCAATAATAATGACCAAAGTGCCTTAAGTGAGAAGCCCCTGTTATTTTCAGTTACTGTAAGGAACACAAACTACATCGGATTATTAGTAATGCTGAAATCTGCTATGGGCCCCAGAAACATGAACAAATCAGAGGAAAAGGCTATATTCACATTTGATTCCTCCGAGGCCAAGGCTGATTCACATTCTTTATGTTTCCTCAGGACGGTGAAAGGTGGGAAACCTGTCAGGTGTACCAGGTAGTTGTGTTTCATGGTTCGTTTTGTTGAGAAGGCCCGATGTTTATGGTAATCTCGTTCTTTAAAATCAGGGTCAACGTGTCAAAAGGCCTCATGCCATTTGTGGCTCCTTCTGCCCCATACCTATAGCTCTTGTGTGTTTTCCTTCTCCTGTGTTGCTTGTAGTACTTTCACTTTTTGGGAGGCACCTGATAATGGTTGCTAAGGCTTTGCAAGGCTCTTATTTATTATTTTAGTATCTTTTTCATAAATTGTTGTAAGTGCTGCTGGGACGAGGTTTGGCGAGTGATCACTGGTGTAGGAGTATATGAACTTATGTGGAACCACACACATTTTCGCATGAAAAAGCTCTTCTGCCTCCATTAGTGCAGCCTCTGGTTTTATAGATTATAAACTGAGGCCTGGAGAGGTGGTGAGCCGACTTACCAGGATTGCAAGTCTAGCCCAGTGGTTCTTCTTGTGTGGTCTGTGGGTCCTTGGGAGTCACTAAGGCCATTTCAAGGAGACTGGACACAATTTTTTCCCATGGATTTACTAAAATATGTAGTGTGTTTTTCACTGCATTGACATCTGCATCAGTGATGCCCAGGCACTGACGGCTAAAATGCAGGCCCTTTGTTACAAATCAAGACAGTGGTACCAAATGTATTCTTCTCCCAACATACTCACAGTTTTTATTTTTTAAACAGCCATTTTTATCTGCTGTCCTTGATGAAGCAGCAAAAATGATTGCTTTTCTTAAATCCTGACCATTGAGTACACAATTTAAAATTTTGTGTGACAAATGGGAGATAGGCAGAAAGTACTCCTACCTATTGAAGATCAGTGGTTGTCTTGAGGAAAACTTTTATGTGATGGTTTGACTTGTAAGCTGAAGTAGCCTTTTTTTTTTTTTAATTGAAATGCCGTTTTTATTGGAAAGATGGACAGAGAAACTGGCTATTCAGCCTTTGGTGTTTTGAACAGTTTCTAGAAAACGAATGAAGTGAGCCTGTCGCTGCATGGCAAATGACTGACAGTATTTGTAGCCAAAGATAAGCTTTAAGCTTTCTAGTGAAAATTAGATTTTGGAAAATGTATAGTCCACCGCAAGCATGACAACTTCCCAATACTTAATGACTTTTCTGATAAATTTGGTAATGATGGCCATATATGTGATTTACTGAAATGAAGAAATATATCAACATTTGGAACATCGGCATACCCAATTACTAATATATTCTAAATAACTAATGTTACAGAATTTTTCATGGGTTAAAGATCCATTCAGAGTGTGACACAGAGAAGTAGATTTTAATATAACAAAGAATGAAAAGCTTCCATTCCATATGGCAGCTAACCTTTGAGAAACTCTCATTTGTCAAGTTCTGGCCACATGGCACGGGTCTTGCCGTTTGGACCTAGTTATGCAGCACTGTGAAAACTCAGCTCTTTTAGCACATCACACTACAAGGAAACCTTGATTTCAAGGTCGTTATGATGCCATTTGGCATTTTTTTGAAGAACACATAGTTTACTTTTTAAATTGAATTTTGTTCTTTTTTTCATTAACCTGGTAATCAAATCTTGGATGCCTTCCTGAGTTTGACAGTGGACACAGATGTAAACATGGATCCAGAAATTGCTTGGGGGTACTTGGTGATAAGGTGGTACACATGAACGATCCAGCCTCTATTTATATTAACTTCTTTTATAGATATCACTAAAATGAACACAAAAAGTTTCCTGTGTGTGGAACTCACAGAAAGGGCTGCCTAATAGCACGTTTCCTGGGGCATGCTTCGCACTGCTGTTTGCACAGTAAATGCTGCCTGGTCCCCTGGCCCAGCACCTACTCAGAAGGGACAACCCACAGGGTCTGCAGGCCCCACTGTGACCCATCTACTCTCTCATCCCCTTTCTTTCCTGCATCGACAGTTTTGAGAGTCACAGATACAGAAAGGTAAAATCTAATTATTTTTGTCTGTGTCCTACAGACAGATTACCACAATGATCACATTCCTTCAGAAGATTATGGTCTTAATTATTTCCCTAATCTGAATCATTTATACAGTTTATTTCTGCTGGGAAAAATTTCAGAAACAAGTAGAGTAAGTCGTTTTATTGTGTCTAAGGAAATTCAGTGCAATTATATAGTCCCTGAATTTATTTTGGGGTTCAAATGTACTTTTATATAGTTATGTTATTATTGTGGGTACAATTAAAAAAAATCTTCTTTGTGAGTAGTGCTTCTTTTAGACTGAGAGAGAGAGAGAGAGAGAGAGGGAGAGAGAGGGGAGGGGAGGAGAGTTCTTTAAGAACTAGATAATTAACAGCCCTATAATTTGGAAAGTAACAGAACCCGTATCCAAGAAGCAGTATTATAATTGCCCAGAAGTATTTTATTCTCCCCTTCCTCATTTTGTGCTTTATTTTGAATTTGGTTAATTTGGGAACAATTTTGCTAATTGGGAGAAAACTTCTTTTCCAGTAAGAGCATTGTAGTATTAACACACGTAGATTCTTAGATGTATATTTTTGTGAACTTACGTTGAGAGTGACTATATAGTTCTTGGTGTGTTTTATTTTTTGGTGCAGATTATAAGTAGTAAGGGCTGTCACAAGTTCCTACATATACTTAAAAACTGGAAATTATTCTTTGGTAATTTTCATGTGTGTGTTTTCCCTAGCAAATTAAAATAACCACTAATAATATTAAATATTCAGCATATTTTTTCCCTCTGATAATGTTACTCAGGCTTTATTATTGTTATTAAATCCTCATGATGTAGAAACAAATGTTAAATGCCATATGATTATGATTTATATGCTTCTCATCATTTCTAATTTGCTTTAACATCTTTGAGACTATTGGCTTGACAATGATTTGATTATAACATTCAATGTACATAGTCTGTCTTTCGCATTTCAAGGATCTATATGAGTCCACATCTTTGACCAATGCATTAGTGTTTCAGAAATGTTTCCCATAAATGATGAGTTTACTGTACCATTAAAGCTGTTTTTAGAGCCTTTTAATAAATAACTTGCATCCTAATTTTTGAAAACAGATTACTCTAAACATAATTTAATCTACCTTTTTTGTCTAATGTTTGTGAGTGGTTTTGCCCAGTTGATGAGTGGGGGGCTTTTGGTTGTGATCTGTTACAGACTCATGTGTTTTTATTCTTCTCTGTTTCTTCTCTACTGGAACAATGATTGTATTTGCCAAAATGTTCTCAGTGCTACTGATAGAAATGTTAGCCTGAGTTTGTTATTGATTTTGTTACAGCAATTGCAAACAAACTCCTCATTTATGTGATTACAGTTACCAAAACACTGTCTTTTATGTAATTTTATATGTGAGTATATGCCAAATACTACCAGCTTATTAGTGTATTATTACTTTCAAGATTTTTGTTATCTTAAGGATATGAAATATGTTTGTTTTACACTTTTTCATAATACTTTATTGAACAAAGGAAAAATGGATTCAATAGAATTCTTTAATAGCCTAGCCAAACATTGTTTAGATTCTGTATTTTTAATCCAGCCGATGTGATTAAAAGTTGAATGAAATTTGTTTCATGGCTTAGATTTATTTATATTTTAGAATATTATTTTATTTAGAAATATTAGGATGGTAATAGCAGTATTATGATAGCAGTGTGTGTCAGACACTATTTTAAGCATTTTATCTGATTTAGTCCTCACAGTATTCTTATGAAAGAAGTACTGTTTTATTGCTATGTGTGTACGAATGGACTAGAGACAGAGGATAGTTAAGCGGCTAGCCCAGGGGCACACAGACAATGTACAATGATGCACAAATACACGCTCAGGCAGTCTTACTTCAGAGCAGGTCGTTCCATACAGGCCACCTTTCTTTTGCCATGAAGTGTTTTAAAGGAACTAATGGAATTTCTGTTTAGCATGCTGACCCACTGTCACCTGAAATTGTTATTCTAGTTTTTAATCTTAGGGATTTAACTACCTTTTTCCTAACATGTAGTTTTCAGACATTAGTTATCTTTAAAGAAGCAAAACAACACAAAACCAACACAACACTTTTTTGTATTTGTAGATATGCCTCTTCATGTCCGACGGAGCAGTGACCCAGCTTTAATTGGCCTCTCAACTTCTGTCAGTGATAGTAATTTTTCCTCTGAAGAGCCTTCACGAAAAAATCCCACACGCTGGTCGACAACAGCTGGCTTTCTCAAACAGAACACTGCTGGTAGCCCTAAAACCTGTGACAGGAAGGTAACCGATTCTGTTTTGTGTCTTCTTAGTACCTTTGCGATGGCCCTTTGTGTGTGTTTGCTTATCGACTTCTACATCAAAGTTCAGATAACTTTCATTTTATATTGCCTTTGAATTTTCTGACAAAATTTGTGCTATATGTGGTGTACATTTATTCATTTTTGAATAGATAATATTCATATGATTAAAAATGAAAACTTTCTATATGAAATGTGTATGTGTAAAGCCCCTCTCTACCTTGTCTCCTGTCCTACCGCTGTTTCTCTTCATGGACAAAACCCTTGTTAGCTTTTTGCAAGTTCTTTCAGGGATATTTTACACACATATAAGCAGATATTCATACTGGCTCAGGAGGTACATTTAAGAAATTATAGTATTATGGACTTCTAAGGATGAAAGTGGACTCCATGGTCATTTATTTTTAAATAGTTAATTGGTAATTCTATCTTACTCCAATATGGCTGTGTACTGTGTAGTCTAGAATATAATATTTTCTACTTTGACCTAATTTATTTTAGTCCATGACCTAATTTATTTAGTCTAATAAATACACTTTGTTTTAGTCTATTTAGTTTATTTTTTGCAATTTGTTTGTTAGTGCTCTTGTCATATACTTCTGCAGAACCCTTACCATTCTGTTCTGTTAATACCTGTATGTAACCTTTTACCCAATGAGCTTTAACCGTGTTTGTGATTTTCACTGCTGAACCTATAGAATAGTTACCAGGAAATGAGGCTGAACATAGGCTCTTCATCTTCTTGAAGGAATGAATTCAGCCAAGAGACAGAATTTTGTCCAGAATAAGACAGCCAGAAATTTATTAGTAAAACAAAGTGCACTCCAAGACATGGATCAGGCTGACCCAAGGGAGGGAGGCAGCCCCGCCCTGCATTACATGAAGGCTTTTATTTCTATGGGTAGAACTGCCTCCCCCTCTCCCTTCTTTTATCCCTCTTTCACTTCCTGAGGTGCCCAGTCCTCTGGCATTTAGCAATGCATTTCATTGATTTAGGAGCGTGTGTAAACATATCCCTTTGATTTAGGGGCATGTGTAAACACATCCCCTTGGTTTTGGGGCATGTAAACTCATCCCTTAGGGGTATGTGTAAACCTGGATTTCTGTTGGGCAGCAGCACAGGGTCTTGACCCAAGTAGGAGCTGTAGCAAAGGGCTTTCTAACTGGGGCTAAATCTCTCTTGCTCGTATCTGTCTGTCTACCTACCCTATCAGAATAAATGCTCAGTAAATGCCTGTTGAATGAATTAATAAACCTTTTTCAGTGTTAGCACAGTATATAGTGAATACACATTTTGAATATATATTGAGAAATGTGGAACTTTACTAATCACATATTAATATTCAAATGAATGTGGCTTAACAGTTTGCTGGATTTATTTGTTCATCTTTGAAAATACTTGTTTTAAATGTTTCTTTTTACTTGGTTTTACGTTTCAGCAAACTCTTCTTTGCATTAATTCAAGTAAGAAAAAAATGTATGTAATACATAAGTTTAAAGTGAGGAGAATCTATAAGGAGAAAACCTGTACTGAAGTCACTGATTTTTTTGGACTAGGGGTTTAACTGTAAGGCGCACTCCTCTGAAGCACTTTATTATATATTTGATGAGAAATCATATTGAAGTGTTTTCTCACTGAGATTAGCTTGAAATTGTGGAATGCTTTATCCTACAGTACTGACTGTCCAAAGAAGCAGAATCCACTTTCTGAATAGGCCTCATGACATTTCGTTTGTTCAGAATAGACCTCATTTACATAGATATTCACAAATGCATAAACAAGTCATGTTGGCAATCTAAAAAAAATTTATTACTTTTTAAAAAGGTTTTTACTTAGTTGAAGGATAGTGGGTCAGAAGTCATTGAGGTAATCATGTTGTTTTAAACTCATTTAAGATCTTGGATGTGTGAGTCAGCTTTAGTTGCAGCAAACAGAACCACAGTAGCTATTTTAAACGTACAAGGACTTAAACTTAGAATTTGTTTCTCAGAAAATCATTTAAAGGACTTGGAGAGCAGGCCCTGGGCTGGGGCCTCAAGAACTTTCTGAGCAATGCTTACTACACATGTGGCCTGCCCAGGGAGGAGGGTGGAGCTGCAGTACGGGGACCTGGGATCTCCCCGCCTGCCTCTGCCCACTCACTAGATACTGGCACTTAGTCTCCTGGTGTGCTTACCTTGCCGCTTATCACCTGTGAAGCTGGGAACTGAACCCAGAAATGCCTCGGAAAACTCCCAGCATCTCCACAACTATGTTTGCCAGTACCAGCAGCCTAAGAAAATTCCGTTTCACAACCACCATTAATATCTCAGACTGTTGAAGCCAGATGGGCAGAATGTAATTTGCATGCAGATCCCTATCTGGAGGGGAGCTGGGAAGTGGACTTAGGCCTCCCAGCCTCCGTGCAAGAGGAGGCAAGCCAGAGGAGAGCTGATGCTCACTACAGTGAATCACATCCATCACACCAACTTTTTGTTTCACCTAACACGTATCTGTTATTGTAAAAAACTGGAGAAACTAATAGAATAGAAGAAAATTAAATTATCTATAATTCCCAAACTCAGCAACAGCCAGTGTTAATGAAAACACACACACACACACACACACACACACACACACACACACACACACACACACACACACACACA